AAGTGTCAAGTTATATTGTTGAAAACAATAGCTTACTTGTATTTGATACACGTATTTAGACATGTATTTTGACTCGTACTTCGCGTCATTCTTCACCTTGAACTGCATGTTGTTACGTAACGGGATTATCTTGATCGCCGCACGATATGCCACGATATGCCGGTTGAATACCACTTTTACACCCAGATAGCGAGGACCTTATTTACGGACAAGCGGCCGAAACTGTGCCTGACTCTTTTGATCCTCTTGCTTAATTGCTTTCGTTGCTTTACCTTGAACTGCATGTTGTTACGTAACGGGATTATCTTGATCGCTGTACGATATGCCACGATATGCCGGTTGAATACCACTTCAGCACRGCACGTCCTAGAACCTGGACTGGACTCTGGACTGGACTCTGTGCTTTTCATCTTGGACTAGACTCCCAGTTTTACATGAAAATTATACATCTTTTTATTATTCATTCTCTTCAATACTTATACATATTTAAGACTATATCATTTATTTTCGGCAATGTTCTTTGTGATCCTGTTGGAACATGCCCATCGATGATAGGTAGAATTCGAATTTGCATTATAATTTTTTTTCTGTTCAAGAACCAACGGCTTAAAATATATTTTAAAATATATAACCTACGTTTATCTAGCGTTTACAGAATAATGTTGAAAAGACAGCGCGAAATTCGGCTTCCGCGCAAAGCGGCTATCTTAAGATAGACCTTTCTTTATCTGTTTTTTTCCCGAGAAATTTTAGCTAGTTTTGTAGCTCTCTTTGCCTCAGTTATCTTTTATTCAATCTTCAGCGGTTTTTTCGTAGAAACATGTAGAAATCCCCACTTTAAATTTAGTAATTTTGAAAAAATATATTATGTCAAGAAAGGAACAGGAATTTCTGATAACATGGGAATCATGAATAAACAGTAAACTGTCAGGATTGACAACTCCCAGCCATGTCACTTGAGATTTTCGCTTCCGGCCACACACACACACACACACACGACAAAGAACATTGCCGAAAATAAATGATATAGTCTTAAATGTGTATATGTATAGTATTGAAGAGAATGCATCGCACAGAATTGACTGACACAACCGGGAAATTAGAGAATAAATTACTAGATTCCAGTTTCCGAAAATCAATTTTCCTCTCACGGTAATTTATATTTATAAGGCAAAGTCATAATATTGAAAGTTTAAGCGCTTCGCGAAGAAAATCGAAAGTTAATGCAAGAAAGGTAACACAGGAAAATTAAAGAATGACAACCACACAATTTAAGCTTGCCATTTATTTTGGTGATTCAATTTGCCAACATGCGATTTTTTGTGGGTCTGATTTCAGGTTTCGTAGTGTTAATATGTATGGAAATTTATCATTCCTGCACTTTGTTGGGGTCCTGCTGATATGGTCGTGAAAAAAATAATTCAAAGTAACGACTGAAATTGGTTGCCCAACCATTGCTTAATTGCTTCCAAAATCCGAGCCTTTGAAGCTGAAGCAAGTAGCGATTTTTCAGGAGTTTTTACTTTTTACTTTGATCCAACAAAGCAAAACAGTCCAAAATGACGACTTTATAGCCTGCGTCACCATCCGGAATTTTCTTCGTAAATACCGTACGGTATTTACGAAGAAAATTTCGGATGTGACGCAGGCTACGACTTTACAGTGCTCTAAGAAATCATCCTTCTACCGGCATTTATATAGCCCTAGATACCTGGCCTCTATATTGTGTCTAGGTTGTGTCCAGTCCAGAGTCCAGTCCAGAGTCAAGTCCAGAGTCCAGTCCAGGTTCTAGGACATGCCCTTCAACACCCAGATAGCGAGGACCTTATTTACGGACAAGCGGCCGAAACTGTGCCTGACTCTTTTGATTCTCTTGCTTGTTTGCTTTCCTTTCATGCTTGGTAAATTTGTTTCATTTCTATATATTAGGGGATGCACAAAGTTAMTTCACATGGGGAAAGCTGGGTGACACAAGCCCCCACCCGGCCCCTSTGGGCGCAACGGCCCTGGTTACATAACAGCAAACTGACAGGTTACCATCTGTAATCTGAGGCGGGATTGCAATGTTGGAGGTCCGTCATGCACGCGATTTTGCACGTGAGGCCATTTCTTACATCAGGGTATAAAAGAAGTGAGCGACATAATCAAAACCATTCGACGCCCGATTTCTTGAGAGCAGACACGACTGGTCGTAAATACTTTACAATATAAAGGTAAGATTGCAGATTTTTTTTTATCATTCTACCAACATCTTTCTTTCATTAGCTTTAGAAGCTCGTGTCTGTTACGCTGACTATAATTATTTTTGCACACACCTCGATTCGGAAATGTAGTAAGAAAAGGCAGTTTTGAACTAGATTAAATGAAGGGTTTCACTAGATAAAAAAAGCACAAGAAATCAGGCCGGATTACTGCTTTTCAAACGATAAAGTAATTTTGTAAGCTTCAAATTGGAAACTGCTTTTACAATCCAGTTACGTCTGTCACGGCGGTGCCAGGTCTAACTCATGATTTAGTTACGTAATGTTCAAACTAAGATCATATTCGACATACATTAAAGTATTTAAGTATTTAGAAATCACGAAAAAAATAATATGTGCTGTATACATCACTTTGAATATTAGCAAGATATATGCGAGAGATGCGAAAATATTCACCAATTTTGGAATGTACTTTCATGCACGACAGCTAGTACAGTAAAAACCCACGTATAAGAACCTAGATTTTTCCAAGTTAGCCTAAAAAGGTCCTTATTTAAATGGTGTTTACTGCAAAATTAGGCTATTTAATTAGGTTCTTAAACAGGTTCTTATTTTCTTAAGAAAAAAGCGACTCGTTTTTGGGAGGTGTGGTCTATTATTGATATTAATTGTATMATCGCTCTATAATCTCATATAAGCAACTATTGTATTATTTTTCCAAATTGTTTTTCCTGTACAAATTAAAGATTAATTTGGATCGTTTCCATTCGCATTCTTTCGAGGAAAAACTATGGCTCATGGAATCAGTSTGGTATTGATTCCAAATAGCCCTACTTCACTGCTTGTTTATGTGGGGGATAGAATCGCCAAATCCAATAGAAAATTCAACAAATTTTGCTCCYACCGAAACAGTTTAACTAAAGTAGCCTGGTTTTCAGATATAATATGTGTTAATATGTACTAAAAAATATTCTGAGAGTTTGCTGGCTATTCTACTTTTCTTCGTGGATTGTGGATTGATACGGGTTTTAGAACAATTTTCGGTGAATTTGCGTTGATTTGACCCCCTCCGACGATCATGATCCTTTGCGTTTAAACAATAGATTGCTGAAGATTGTTTTGATGTGACGTCATAGTGAAATAGCATCCTATTACCTATACAAATTATGCAKAAATAAATATAAAGCTTCTCCAACTTGGCTGCAATCTAAGCAAATACAAAACATAATTATGTGCAATATAAAGGTACACTGTATGTATTTTACAACTTACTGTGTGTAAGATCTTTGTAGAGCTTATTTTCTTGGATTTTTTAATTTTTTTTTTTTTTGATAAAATAAGAAACTGCTTTGGAATTTTAGCCTAAGACAGATTCTTGATGCCAAAGCGGGTCTAAATGGAAAATCTTAATCTAATAACAGGTTCTTAAATCTAGGTTTATACGCGGGGTTATACTGTATTTCTTTATTAGAACTGTGCCCAACATGTCATCAAACGCTATTCTCTAGAAAACAAATTCAAATACATAATTAATATCAGTAGAATTCGCTGTTTAAGGAAGCTTATAAAATTAACGATTTTACCACACATTGTTGCTTCAGAAGACAGAAAATGGAAATCTATTGTGCGATTTGTTAAATTGATCATAGATGTCAGCCAATTATATTAGATTGCGAGAATACGCTCTGTTATCGTAACATTAGCAAATCGAGGTCCCTTTATGGTCTAGATCTGTTCAGCAAATCGAGGTCCTTTGTCTATGGTCTAGATCTGTTCAGCAAATTGAGGTCCCTTGTCTATGGTCTAGATCTGTTCAGCWAATCGAGGTCCCTTGTCTATGGTCTGTACTCTTATACAGCATGGAATGGCGTCAGCATATGACTAAAACTCATGGGGAACCACGAACGCAGCGAGTGGTTTCACTGCAAAGTTTGGATCATATTCTGACGCCATTCGATATTCGAAAAGCGTACAGACAATAGAAAAAGAACCTTGATTTGTTTTGTACCASAAAAAGAAAAACATTTCCACGCGTTTTTTCAAGGTTTTTAATTGATCAAAACAACCAACGTTCTCGTTGACGTCAGCTTATTTAGACTACTAGCTGTGAGCGCAAGAATGCGATTTTATAGTATGCGTATATAGATATGATACAATGGGTGATCGAAGTTTCAATATACAAAACTCTTCTGTCCCAGAATCAAGATGGCAAAGTTCATATGTATTCTTCTTCTGCTGATGGTCTGCATCATACACGCTTCTCTTGCTGGCGGTGATCGGAAACAATGGAAAATAGGCACCAGATGGGTGAAGTCAGGATTGAAGAAACTTGGAGTCAAGTCACGTTGGGGCTCTGAAGGCGGTGAGTCTCGCCCGTGGGCCGGTAACAAGAAATGGAAGGGTAAAGAGTCTGAAGAAGGTCAAGATTACAGCAAGATGCGTGATGAAGATATGTCCGATATGATGATGATGCGTATGAAGAAAATGTTCAAACCACTCAGAGATTTATTTGTAAAGGTAGGTACTGATATAATCCACGATACTCATGATGCCGGCTCGTATAGTCAATCAGTTATTGGCTGGATGGAGTCAGGAGGAGGGCTGGCAGGATTCGCAGTTAACTTTTTAAAAATGGTTGTAGAAAGCTGTGAGAAAGTCATGACCCTCTCCTTTGAGTCAGCAAGTAACTAGCTTTGGTCAAGATGAAAAGTTTTGACTGAAAAAAAAAATTCAAATTCTTACTGACAACCCTACCTCCCCTCGAATCAGTGCCCCAGACGTCYTCCTCACAATGATTTAGCAGGGGAGTAGCGACATACATCAACTTTACTGAATTCTATTGATTATTARATAATTTCTAATATCATTTAGCGAGGTTCCCCAGGAATATTTTTTGAATAAATAGAGGATATTACATGAGCGCGCGGAGATACGAAATTTATCTTCGAGTGAGAGATTTTCAACACGAGAAGATAAGTTTCATATCTCCAGGCGCCCTTGTAATATTCTGTTTATTATWTATATTTATCCATAAAATCAACTTAACAAGCTTTTTATTATTATAAAGCGTTTTTATTTATAAACTAATAGCATGGTAACGATATTTTCACATGTGAAAATAACATGTTATTATCACATGTGAAAATATCAGTTTTTCGAAAAGGAGAAATATAGGTATTTTATGGATAATTATATGATAAAAAGGAATAAAAAACAACAGAAACAAACAAAATTCTTCAAATTTATAAGAAAATTTAAACATTTTTATTTTTATTCAAACTATTTTTTWAAATTTTACTTTTTCTTTAAAATCATCCATCAATTACCAAAAATGTTGCCCCGTCCCCATCGCTACGCCACGTCTTTTTTTGAGCATTTGAAAAACGTTTTGCAGCTATTTTACAAAAAGTATGTTYAAAACACATGGCGCGATTGAAAGATATCTAAATTAGGCAATAAAGGTAACGAATGAAAAAGGAATAAGGAATTATTATACGTTATCCCCTCAAAAAATCTATRATAAAAGGTATGTTCAGTACAACAAATTTACCAAATGTCTTACCAACTTCAGAATATTCCAAAAATATCGCACAAGGAATGAGCTTGGACTGCTTATGCCATTTGCTACCACATTAACACCTATCTCCTATCACCTCAGGTACTTGACCTTGGTCCCAAGAAGACGGTYGCAGGAAGAGCAGCTTTCTGCAGTGATAACGAATGCCCATCATTCAAGGTTTTGAATAAAAGTGAACATCATGATTATGAAGTGAGGATGTATGAGCCATCTCACTGGGTCAGCACCAACATGCAAGGTAATTGATAAGTATTATTTATTCTATTTTTCTTAATTGRGCGTATTTTTCCCAAGCTCAGATCGCGTATATTGCCCTTGAAGGATAATTTTCTTGTTAGAAGTAGCGCTTAAAACTGTCCCCCCCCTCCATTAAAATTAACTTTTAAACGGTTTCTAATTTCGTTTAAATGTCTTTTATTGTATGTGCTTCATTTTGTTTAACAGGGCTCTTATTAAAGGGATTACCCTGTATTRATAAAGGTTTCATAAATTTCATTTCATTTATTTTCCTTACTATATCTCTCAGCCAAAAAGATGACTAAACAGATCAGTACGTCTTGTTTTTGGCGTCTCTTCAATTACATTCAAGGCAACAACGAGATCAAACAGAARATCAAGATGACAGTTCCAGTAACAACAGTATTCAAGAAAAACCCAACAACAGAAAAGATCAACATGACCATGTCATTCTACCTACCACCCTTCATCACCAACCCTCCCTCCCCTAACGACCAGAACGTATGGGTCAAAAGAAAAGGAAGTTTCAAGGTTTACGTTCATAGTTTTGACGGATACGCGATGAGCCAGAAAACATGGGAAAAGCACGCTAAAATGCTGCAAAAACTGCTTGACCAAGATGGATTATCTGGYACGTATTACAGATATGACGAGATGTACGTCACTGCTGGTTATGATGATCCCATGAAACTATTCAACAGACACAACGAGGTTTGGCTTGTTGCCAAAGACCAAGAGGCCTAAAGCTTGTATGGTCTGCACGGAACATTTTGCATGTTGATAACATGTTAGTTGTGTGCTTTTGAATATTTGAATGTTTATATGAACCTTTTTCTCCAAGCTTTGGGCTTTTATATAAATAAAATTATTGTTATCAACTTATTCTTTTATTACGAATAAATAGAATTGCTTTTTGATGAACTTCTGACATCATTTTCAAGAAGAAGGGACTAATTTCTTGTGATATGAGGAGCTCTGTATTAATAATATGCAATATTAAAT